TTATGCATGCTAAGCAAGCTTTCTACCACTAGACTATTTTTGCAGCCTCGAATTTGTGTAATAGTCTGGGTTTTCTTTAGTTCTTCGAACCATTGGCAAATATAGGTTTTTTTCAACCTTTATTATTATTATTATTATTTGTTTAGTCTCTCTACATAACCATGGCAGACCTAGAATTCTCTATGTTGACCAGGCTGGCCTTAAATTCACAAAGATCTGTCTGCCTCTGCCTAAAAAGTGATGGGCTTAAAGGGCAAAGATAACCACCCCTGGTCCAATCTTAATTACTGATGCTAATTTTCAGATCATATAATACACACAAGGATTATATTACAGAATGGCCAACAATGGGTTAAAGAGGCCACAGAGTTAAAAGGTGCCTTAGGAAAGACATAAGGCAGGGAGCTGAGAGATGCTAGCGGAGTTATTGCAGGTGCTTAGGTTAATATAACAACTAATGTTGCAATAGTTCCAGTATGGGCTGTTGAAGCTCTGGGGTGGTTCCAGATGCTAAACAGAGGGCGGTGGGGGGTATTTCACATTTGTAATTCCAGTATTTGAGAGGCAGAGGCAAGCGCATTAAATTCTAGGCCAGCCTGCTGGATTATAGTTACTATCTGTTTATTCAGACAGGGCTGCACTGGTAGATTCTGTTTATTCAATTTATTCTTATTTGATGTGCATTTGTGTTTTGCCTGCATATATGTCTGTGTGATGGTGTTGGATCCCTTGGAACTGGAGTTACAGACAGTTGTGAGCAACCATGTGGCTGCTGGGAATTGAACCCAGCTCCATTGGAAGAGCAGTCAGTACTCTTAACCACTGAGCCATCTCTTCAGTCCTGGTAGATTCTGTCTTAAAGTATGGGACAGGTGGTAACGTGGTGGTGCAGTTGGTGAGTGAGTTCTAAGATTACTAGGTCTCCAGAAAAGATAACTTGAGTTGGCTTTGTCAAGCAGATCATATAAGCTAAAACCCCTGGAGTACTGGGGACAGAATCAGGAAGTTATTGCTTGGAGATAGCTTGATGATGGGTAAAGTCTTAACCAATCTTAGGAGCTCCCCCCTCCCCCCATTGTATGACCCAGGAAGGAGTTGCATCATTCCTTGGTCTGGTGTGTTTGATAAGTTTTGGGGTCTGGTTTCTCTGATATAGTTCCCATATACCTTTGGGTACATATGCTTCTGATTAAATTTGATAAAGCCTATCAAATTAAGTGGTAGATAAAACAGGACCATCCTGATCTCTATTTCACATGTGGCATCACAGCTTTGCAATACCAGCACTAACGTGGCTAAGGCAGGAGGATTAAAAGTTTAAGCCTAGGGCTGGAGAGATGGTTCAGTGGTTAAAAGAGCACTGGCTGCTCTTCCAGAGGACCTGGGTTCAATTCTAGCACCCACATGTGGCTCACAACTGTCTCTAACTCCAGTTCTAGAGGACCAAAACATCAATCCACAATAAATAAATTATTTTTTAAAAAAATAGAGTTTAAGCCTAGACTGAACTACAAAATTATTCTGAAACCAGCTCCTCAGACTAATGAAACTGTCTTAAGATGAAAAATGTTTTTAAGGTGATTCATTTTCTTCGTAATCTTCTTTTTGTTTTTCGAGACAGGGTTACTCTGTGTAACAGCTCTGGCTGTCCCAGAACTCACTTTGTAGATGAGGCTGGCCTCAAAGGCACAGAGATCCACCTGCCTCTGCCTTCCGAATGGTGGGATTATAGGCGTGCGCCACCACCGACCTTTTGGAGAAAGGGTTCGTTTTTCTGAAGAGTCACACTCACAGCAAATATTTCTCAATTACATAGGTAGGCTTTGGAGTGTGAAGGAGTTGGGTGCAGTGGAACACCCCTGTAATTCTTTAGGAGACTGAAATGGAGATGGCTGTGAATTCCCGATCCTGAGCCACATGGCAAGTAGTAAGCCAGCCAGAGCTATATGGGGAAACCATGATCAAACATAATAATAATAATGACGAAAATCTGGGCCTGATAGTATGTCTACTTCAGAATTTGGGAAGTAGAGCCTAAGAGGATAAGGCATTCAAAGGCGTTCTCTTGCTAGGGTACACAGTAAGGAGTTCTAGCCCAGTGTCAGGTATAGGAAATCCCATCTCAGGACCAATCCACAAGCCAACCAACCAACCACCACTATCATAAATAAATACATAAGTAAATAAAGTGCCAGCAGTGTTCAACAAGGAACATTACTTAGAAGAAGTTACTCCACGGGTCTTTAAGTGGTTTCTCTCACTGTCAGCTGCTCTGGCCTTGAGTTTATAACTCAGCGGAAGTGGCAGGACCTGGGCAGATGGCAGGCAGCATGTATTTCTCTCTGCCTGCCCATCTTTACTCTTCTTGTCACTGAAGACAAACACTGCGGGGAGTGGGGGAAGGAAGAAGAAAAACATCCAGCTAGTGTGATCAGATCTGGAATCCCAGAATTTGGGAGGTTGACAAGGGACTTGTGAAGAGTTAGTTCCAGGCCAGTCTGGGAAACAGAGTGATAATCTTATAAAACAAACAAACAAAAACGACAAACAAACGAATGAACAAGCAATTTCCATTTCCTAGGTCTATCTGAACCTATAACTTTTTGTTTGTTTGAGACAGGGTTTCTCTGTGTATCCCTGGCTGTCCTGTGCTGTGTAGATCAGGCTGACCTCGAACTCGAACTGTCTGATTTTGCCTCCTGATTGTTGGGATGGTGTGTGTGTGTGTGTGTGTGTGTGTGTACCACTTCACCTGGCAAATGTCACTGCAGTTCACCCAGTTGGCCTTGAACTCACTCTATTGGTGAGAATAACCTTGAACCTCCTGCTTCCACTGCGCAAGTGCTGCTGCTAGACAGCTGTGGGGCACCACTTCTGACCTTGTTTTATTGAGACGGGGTTCTCACTGCGTGGCCCAGGCTGGTCTTGAATTGGCATTTCTTTTGCTTCAGTTTCTCAAGGGTTGGGATTACAGGTGTGTACCCCCCATGCCAGGCTGGCTTCATTTTTGTTATCTTCTTAAATTTTTCTTTTATGTGCACTGGTGTATTTTGCCTGCATGTACGTCTGTGTGAGGGTGTGGGGTCTCTGGAATTAGAGTTACAGACAGTTATGAGCTGCCATATGGGTGCCGGAAATTGAACCTGGGTCCTCTGAAAGAGCAGCCAGTGCTCTTAACCAGTGAATCATAGCTCTAGCCCCTTCATTTTAGTTGTAATTTCTGAATTGTAATTTTTGAAACATTGAATAATTCCTGAAATATAATTTTGAGTCTTTGAGAGACAGAATGGCAGAGTAGCTCAAAGTAACATCCTACAGTCAGAGTACTTTCTTTTTTTAATTAATTAATTAATTTGTTTGTTTGTTTATTAAAGATTTCTGCCTCCTCCCCACCACCGCCTCCCATTTCCCTCCCCCTTCCCCACTAAACTCCCCCTCCCTCATCAGCCCAAAGAGCAATCAGGGTTCCCTGCCCTGTGGGAAGTCCAAGGACCTCCATCCAGGTCTAGTAAGGTGAGCATCCAAACTGCCTAGGCTCCCCCAAAGCCAGTACGTGCAGTAGCATCAAAAACCCATTGCCATTGTTCTTGAGTTCTCAGTAGTCCTCATTGTCCACTATGTTCAGCGAGTCCGGTTTTATCCTAGGCTTTTTCAGACCCAGTCCAGCTGGCCTTGGTGAGTTCCCGATAGAACATCCCCATTGTCTCAGTGTGTGGGTGCACCCCTTGCGGTCCTGAGTTCCTTGCTCTTGCTCTCTCTCCTTCTGCTCCTGATTTGGACCTTGGGATTTGTCAGAGTACTTTCTTTGTTTACTATGAGTTTGTTTGCTTGTTTTGATTTTCTTTTTTTCTTTTTGGTTTTTGAGATGCCTTTGAAGACTGGCTAGTGGTGCCTATTTTTAATCCCATTTGGGTGGCTGAGAAAGGCAGATTGGTGAGCATTCCAGACCATCATGAACTACATGGTGTGTTCCAGGCCAGCTAGAGATACAAAACAGAACCCTTATTGGAAACAAAACAATTTATGAGGCCTGTTGGTGTTGTAACACAGCATTTGGGAGGCAGAGGCAGGAGTATGGCTTAAGGTTCAAGGATAGCCTGGTCTAGGTGAGTGAGTTCAAGCCGGTCAAACGTACATTAAGGTCTTGTTTCCACAAAGTGAAACAAGTCGAGGGTGATGCTTGCCTTCACCTTTAAATCCTAGCAGAGGCAGCAGATCTCTTGAGTTTGAGGCCAGCCTGGTCTACAGAGCAAATCCCAGGAGAGCTGGGGCTACATAGGGAAACCGTCTCGAAAAACCAAAAATAGACCAAAAAAAAAATTACAACATATATATATATATATATATATATATATATATATATATATGCCACTCTTTCCACAAACACACACAAAACCCCACAATACAGAAATCAATTATGACAGCTATTAGTTATATTAAACATTTAGATTCCTATAGCCTAAAAAGGGTTTGCTGCGAGATGGCTCAGCTGGCAAAGATGCTTGCTACAAGCCTGATGCATGAAGTTTGATCAGCTGGACCAATAGGGTGGAACGAGGGCATGCCCCCAACTTGTCCACTGACAGTCACACGCACACCTTGGAACGCATGCGCCCAAACACATACACGCACACAAACGCAATAAATCAATGTAAAAACAAACAAGCAAATAAAAGGGGGGAGAAGAACAACTTGCCACCCAATACAACCATAAAGGCATCGAGGCCTGCACCTGAAGACGCCCTCCCCCGAAGCCCCGCCCCAGAACTCCGCCCCCGCCCCCGCCCCTAAGTGGCCGCCCAGGCCACATCCGGAAGTCTGGAGCTCGGAGACGGCGATTACGTGCCGGCCGCTCACTGCGCGCGGGAGGCGGGTCTGAGGTGCAGGCCGCTCCAGGATAGGACGCAGCCTGGTGCGGAAGGGGCGGGCCGGGCCGGGAGGTGGTGCTTCGCGTGAGCGCCCTCAGGCCGGGCTTCCGCGTGCGTTGGTCGGGGCGCGGGAGTGCGCGGCGGGGGCGTGCCGGGGCCGTCCGGGGGCGGGGCGGCGCGCGGCCTAACGGCGGCGGCGGCGCTGGTGCGGGCGAGTTCGGCGGGTGCAGGTTCCGGCCTGCGCCTGCGGAGGACTCGGGCGGTGGGTCGAAGTGGGTGGCGCTCGCGGCAGGCTGCGTTCCGCGATGGTGGGTGTCCCCGGAGCAGCCGCTTTCCAGCGTAAGTGGAGCGGGAAGGCGGGAGGCTGAGGGGTGTGTGTGGAGGGGCCTGCTGCTCCATAGGCGCGAGGCTCCGCTGAGGCCCCCGGTGGGAGGCCCGCGCGGGGAAACTGAGGCCGGGAGTAGGGTGCTATATCCAAGGTCACGCGACTCTCCTGGCCTTCGCGGGCTCTCGGGACCACCCCGATGCTTCATGCGGCGCGGCGGGGCGCGGGGCTCCGGGTGCTAGCGGGACTGTGCGGAGCGGCCTTGGATCTCAGGCCTGGCGGGCGCCCTGTGGACTGGCCGCGAGAGAAGTATTGTTTTGTTTTCGCGGCATTGGGGCCGAAAGTCCGGTCCGGGGAAACCGTAGGCACGCTGGATTTGGAGCGACGTGTGGTAGATGTTGGAAGACGCGGGACTGGTGTTCCGGAGGGGCCTGTTGAGTGCAGGCTCTGGGGTCGGACAGCTTGGGTTCACATCCCGGCTTCTCCCGTGTACAGGCTGTGACCTTGGCGATCCTGGAGGAGTCTCAGTTGCTCTGTCTGAAAATTGGGTTGTGAGGAACGTTCTGTGAATTGCTGTAGTTGGGTTTAGTGAGCCCAGTAGATCGCCCTCCACACACAGTTGCACATCACAGAAGTGTGATAAACCATTCTGTGTGCACCTCGGAAAAGTCTGAAATTAGGATTTAGTTGTGTATTTTTTTTAGATGTCTTTGCCTAGTCCTACAGGGTCACCGAGTTGTGTTTTTATTCTTACCCCCGTTTTGCCCTTTCATGTATCCGATGGTTTTCTAGAATTGTAAGATCCTTGCAGGAGGGATTGTATCATTTAATAAGAACAATAAAAACTTAATTGTCATTAAAATAGCAGTAATAGTCAACATTACTTGAGCAGCAGGCGTATTGCATTCGATTCATTTAATATTTATTAAATCATCTCTTAAGTACAAAGTATCACTCTAGGCCCGGAGGATATGGCAACAAAGTAGATTCTGGATTTGAGTTTGAGAGGAGACTCACGTAAACTGTTCTGTGGATTTTCCTTTGTTGATGCTGAATGACAGCCTAAAAAGAGGTTTTTGAGGCACTTTTGGGGCAGGTGGATCACTGAGTTTGATCTACACAGCCAGTACCAGGCCAGTCAGGGCTATATAGTGAGGCCCTGTCTCAAAAAAAAAAAAAAAAAAACCATAAAAAAACCTAAGAAGTAAATGAAGACTAAAATGAGTTATTTGAGCATGTCCATTGTGCAGGAGATAAAATGAGAGGTATTGAGAACTCTATGCCCTCTCCCAGAGCCTTGTTCTTGAGCACTTAAAAGGGAGGTTTTTATATAGCCTCATTCTTGGGCACTCATCCACATTGAAGAAATACAAGATAGATTCACCCGATAATCCCTTCGTAGTCCTGTACTGTTGCTGCTTATGATGGTATGGTGGAGGCAGACCAGGTAAACCTTAGGTCTGGCAAAGATTCCATTATATTTGGAAAGTGGAACATCCTTTGTTTTGGTTTTTTGAAACAGGGTTTCTCTGTAGCTTTGGAGCCTGTCCTAGAACTAGCTATTGTAGACCAGGCTGGCCTCGAACTCAGAGCTACCCGCCTCTGCCTCCTGAGTGCTAGGATTAAAGGCATGTGTCACCACCGCTCGGCTGAAACAACCTTTTATCTGAATTTAAATTTATTTACTTAGCAGTATTGGGAATTGGATTTAGGGCCTTATACTTTATGCTGTATACTGAATTGTATCCCCAGCCTTCTTTATTTTCAGATTGGATTTTACTAAGTTGCCCAGCCAACTTATAATTCTCTCTCAGTTGTACAGTAGCTAAGAATACAGGCAAGTGTCACTAGGTCCAGCTGACCTAAGAAATTTCCATGTTGAGTATGGTGAAAGCCTATGTAATCCCAGCACTCAGGAGGCTTAGGCAGGGAGATGTGAGTTTGAGGTCAGCCCAAGCTATGCAGGGAGGCTGTCTGGAAAAACAACAAAAGCCAAGAAGTACCACTTTTTGGTGTGTTATATAACTAAGTTTCTTTCTTTCTTTCTTTTTTTCTTTTTCTCTTTTTGAGACAGGGCTTTTCTGTGTAATAGCCTTAGTTGTTCTGGAACTAGCTCTGTAGACCAGGCTGGCCTGGAACTCGCAGAGATTTGCCTCCCTCTGTCTCCCCAAGTGCTGGGATCAAAGGCGTGTAATGTGTGATACTATGCCTGGCATGACCTCCAACTCTTAATCTTGCCTCAAGTTCCTGAATACTGGGAATACAGATGTTCACTGTCATATCCTACTCGACTTTTACTTTAGTTCAGAATCATTTAATAAATTACGCTGGGGCTGGAGAGATGGCTCAGAGGTTAGGAGCACTGGCATCTCTTTCTGAGTTCAATTCCCAGCAACCACATGGTAGCTCACAACCATCTGCAATGAGATCTGGGGCCCTCTTCTTGCCTGTAGTACAAGCATATGTGCAGACAGAATGCTGTATATATAATAAATAAATTTTTTAAAAAATTACACTGAAATGCGTTTGTTTGAGTGCTTTCTTTCATTAAAATAGGATCTTACAATAACCATGGCCTAGGCCAGGCCTACCTCCTGCTCAACTTCTTCAGAGCTATGGCATTACAGGCATGTGTCCTTTCAGTGGTTCAGTGTTGACCATCTGCTGCTCCAGAAGTTTACCTACAGTTTTCTCTTCTCTCTCTCTCTCTTCTTTCTTTCTTTCGTATTTCCAGACAGCATTTTTCTTTGCATCCTTGGCTGTTCTGAGACTAGCTCTTGTAGACCAGATTGGCCTTGAATTAAAAGAGATCTGCCTGCCTCTGCAGTCCGAGTGCTGGGATTAAAGGTGCGCGCCACACCCCCCCTTCAGCTGAAGGAACACAGGCTCTAGTGTATACTAGGTAACTGCTCTATTTTTTTTTTTTTTTTTGGTTTTCAAGACAGGGTTTCTCTGTGTTGCTTTGGAGCCTGTCCTAAAACTAGCTCTTGTTGAACTCACAGAGATCTGCCTGCCTCTGCCTCCTGAGTGCTGTGATTAAAGGCGTGTGCCACCACCTCCCGGTCCTGGTCAGTGTTTTTAACTATAGTCCTGGGGAAAGAAAGAAGGAAAGAACTCAGTCCTCAGTCAAGAGTCCCTAGGGAAATAACTGTAGGTAAAACTTCGTCCTTTGGTGTTCATGCCATTGGGATGAATGGCTAAGTTTGCCTACAATGCATGAATATTTTACGCTTTATTTTTTTCCTGGCAGTGCTAGTCAAACAACCACAACAGCAGCCAGGGCCTCTTAATCCTGGTGCCATTGGGATGGAGATCATTTTATAGTGGTTCTTACCCCTTGACTCATACACTTGAAAAAAAGTATACCAACCAGGTAGGCACAATGCCTTTAATCCCAGCACTGGAGAGGCAGGGGAAGGCAGATACCTGTGGGTTCAAGGCCAGCTTAGTCTACAGACCTGGTTTTAGGACAGCTAGAACTATTAAACAGAGAAACCCTGTCTCAAAAAAAAAAAATAAATAAAAATAAAAATGGAATTTGCTTTGTAGACCAGGCTGGCATTCATTACTATAAAAAGATGTAAGGGTGTAAGAATAAGACTTGCCCTCTTTGGTTTTTCGAGACAGGGTTTCTCTGTAGCTTTGGAGCCTGTCCTAGAACTAGCTCTTGTAAACCAGGTTGGCCTCGAACTCACAGAGATCCACCTGCCTCTGCCTCCCGAGTGCTGAAATAAAAGGCCTGTGCCACTACCGCCTGGCAAGACTTGTCCTCTTGAGAAACATTTTCCTTATGTGGCATAGAGCTATCAGCATAACAGAGACATGAAAATGCCCCAAAGAGATCCTGATGAGGATGAACACCTAAGTACTTTCTGTTCTCTACTCCAGGTCCACTGCTGGTTTGCACCTATTTTCGGGTTGATTTAGTTACTTTTTACCTCTGAGATGGTCAGATTATGTTCCTACTCCTTTTTATTGGTATTCCTCCTACCTGACTGGATTATCCTAAACTCCTACTTTCCAGCATAACTCATGCTGATTTCAAACTCCTCATCTTCCCGACTCACTTTTCAGGTGCCAAGTTTAGAAACAGAAGCCCCCCATGCCTGAACAGGATTGCCAGAATTACTCTAGAGATGAATGGGAAAGAAAAGGCAGTATTTGTATAATAGCACACACCTGTAATCCCAGCATTTGGGACATTGAGGCAGGAGGAATATTGTAAGTGCCAGGCCAGCCTGGGTTCTGTCTCAAAAAAATAATAACAAAGGGCGGTAGTGGTGGATATTAAACAATAATTTAGCCAGGCCTGATTTACAGAGTGAGTGCCAGGACAGCCAGGGCTACAAGGAGAAACCCTGGATCAATAAAAACAAAGCAAAGATTTGACTCTTGCTGGGCATGGTAATAGGTGCCTGTAATCCCACTTTTTGGAAGGCTGAGGTAGGATGGAGGTTTTGAGGCCTCTCTGTGCTGTGTAGTCAGACTCTGTCTTAAGATGGGGGAAGCCAAATGAAAAACTAAAAGGATTTGGTTCTCCCTTCTGTTTTGAATTGCTATAATTAAATGCAGAAATTAAAGCAAAATTCACAATGACCAATGTAAAATTCTGAATTTATAGCTCTGGAATTGGCAGACTTTAAATTAAATTAGCTGATGGCAACAAATATGTAATCTAAACTCCAGCAGCTCAACTGAAATGTTACTATCAGGCATGCACACATGCCTTGACACACAATTTTGACCTTTTCTCTTTAAAAAAAATTTTTTTGCCTCATTCCTTTATTTTGATCATCATGTAGAGGTCTTGCCTGCTTTTAATTTTTAAAAACCACATGAGAACAAACATTCACATAGCACAGATTTATTCATTTAGATCTCATATCCCTAGAGCAACAGTAAACACGCCCACATTTTCCTGGAATTCACAACACTCCTGACCACCACTGCCACCCCCATCCCATAAAAGCTAATATACCAGTGGTATTTTTCTGCACAATGAAAATGAGAAAAG